TTCGTTGCCGCAAGTCTTCAACATCGTTTACAGGTGTCGCATACACTAAGCTTTTTAAGTAGCCCCATAAACAAAAGTCTAGCGGGTTCAAATCCGGCGAACGTGCAGGCCATGCAATGGGGCCTCCTCGTCCTATCCATCTCCCAGGAAACCTTTCATTCAAATGTTGTCTAACAATACGCGTAAAGTGCGGAGGAGCTCCATCATCGTGCTCCATCATTTCAGCATTTGAATCAATTGAAAAAGCATTTGAAAATCAAATTACTGGAGTTTGGTTATTTCGCAATTTGAACAAAACGTCAAATTAATGTATCTTAGCAGATTGTACGTAAGGCAAAGCCTACTCCTTGTAATGGACAAATTTTGGTAACTAATGGCGGTACACTTGGCATAACATTTTGTAATGGAATAACTTATACCAACTGGAAGCAATGGAAACATCATACTATTCTCAAAAAGAGACAGTTTCATATTGCATCGATTTGTGAAACTTATAAAAACCGAAAGAATTAGTATTACATTGTGTCAATCCAATTTTTCTAATAATTTATTTTAAAAAATGTTGTCTTTCTCGGAAACCTTAAGGAGTACACATTTTTTTCGAATTAATGTTGTTTAGAATTAAGCTATCTAACTAAACGCTAAATGAAATTTTTGAATTTTCTGAAAAATAGTGGTATTTATTTTCACTTCCGGTCCAACCGGAAGCAATGGAAACATCATACTATTCTCAAAAAGAGACAGTTTCATACTGTATCGATTTGCCAAGTATCAAATCTGTAATAGTTATAGTTTAAAAGAAAAAACGTATTTCCAAAAAAATTGAACATCCTGTATCTCGAAAACGGTTGATTTTCGGACCTGTGTTGATTAACACTTTTCGACTTGTTTTGGACTGTAGTACTACCCCTATAAATATTTAAACGTTGTTTTGAAACACCCTGTATAATAAAGAAGGGTTTAAGAACACAAAATTTACAATAATGACACGAAACTGTCGAATTGTCAATAACCTAACCTTCAAAATTGCCTGTAACCTTCAAAATTGCCTGTGTGTGAACCTTCCTCTCATTCAACCAATCACGTGCAAGGTCAATCTGGTGACAAATTTAAAATACTCCTCCTGGTTTAAAAACAGAGTATAATTGCCAAAGAAAACTTCAAGGTATAATTAATGTTTGTAAACAAAACTAACCTTACCTCACATTCCTTCACGCTATAATTGACATTACAAAAGAAAACTTCACGCTATAATTGCCATTACTAATTGCCAAAGAAAACTTCATGGTATAATTAATGTTTGTAAACAAAACTAACCTTACCTCACATTCCTTCACGCTATAATTGACATTACAAAAGAAAACTTCACGCTATAATTGCCATTACTAATTGCCAAAGAATACTTCATGGTATAATTAATGTTTGTAAACAAAACTAACCTTACCTAACATTCAGCGTCTGAAGACACAGGGCTAAACCCGAAACTTAAAAATATACAACTTAGCGCTGAATAACAATTAAAACTAGAACTAACACTTGCACATTATTTCCAGGCGACACTCGCTCTGAAAAGAGAAATATGTGCCGGCAGAATGGACTAAGGTACGGGTATCTTACATACCCAAAGCGGGCCGTTCGGTCCCTACTTCTAATGCCTTCGACCCATCAGCCTAACGTCATTTCTGCTGAAAACCCTTGAAAAAGTTCTGGAACGGTATATCCGTACCGTGCCATTGGTATCTGGTCCACTGAGTCGCCACCAGTATGCTTATCAAGCGGGAAAATCAGCAGAATTGGCTCTACACAACTTAGTTGGTAGAGTATCCAGGACGCTGCAGGATAAAGAAATCTTGGTTTGTGCGTTTCTGGATATAGAGGGAGCGTTCAACAACGCAATACCACAATCTCTTGAAAGACCTGCTCTTGACAGGGGAGTGGAAGCAACTATAGCGGATTGGATCCGCAATATGCTAGATAGTAGAATAGTTTCTACTTCACTCCACGGTGATACGATACGCTTCAGGCCGGGAGGTGGCTGCCCGCAGGGAGGGGTGTTATCTCCCCTGCTTTGGTCCCTCCTAGTTGACGATCTGATTGCGATAGTCGAAGCCGTTGGTGTGGAAATACAAGCTTATGCTGATGACATTGTCGTTATGGTCAAAGGAACCTGTTTGCCGAGGATATCTAAAGTCCTCCAGGTGACCCTAGATACCATTTGCGCTTGGTGTAAGGGAGAGAACCTCTCAATAAACCCGCAAAAGACAATTGTTGTGCCCTTCACCAGGAAGCGAAAGTTGGATGGACTAATCCGCCCAACTATCCAAGGTGAAGAAATTCCTTTCTCAAAGGAAGTCAAATATCTAGGAGTAATCCTAGACAAAACCCTGTCATGGAATGGACATTTGCAGGGAGTTTTGCACAAAGCTAGACTATCCTTGTGGACTTGTCGCAGTCTTTGTGGAAAAAATTGGGGTCTTACCC